TTCTATATTAATTATTATAAGCTAAATAACTTAATATAAAAGAACTATTATTCTTTTTCTCTTATTTATAAGACCCTTATATAGCTAGCTCAAGCCAAGGTCTATATAAAGCTAGATATTTAATAAGTATTTTATTAGATCCGAATAGACCCAGAATTAGAAGAACTTATAATATTTCGTATAAGATATAGGGCCTATAAGTATAAGATTCTTTAGGAAGGCCTAACTAATAGCCCTGCTATATATTAGAGGTATATAAATAATATTCTCTTTAATTGCCTTAATATCTTTTATATAGCTTATTTAAATAATATTCTAATTTACTTGGATAATTCCCTAGAATATAAAGATTATATATAAAAGATTCTTTAGTAATTATAGGATACTGGCCTCTAAGTAAATATTAAGAAATTAGAGTTTAAGGTTATTTATATAAAGTACCTAGGCTTTATTATCTTTACTAGAGGTATTAAAATAGATCCAGATAAGATAGTAGTTATTAAGGACTAGTAATTACTAAAGATAATTAAAGAAATATAAGGCTTTCTAGGTTTTTATAACTTTTATTAGTATTTTATTATGGAATATAGCCATATAGTAAAGCCCCTAATAGCTCTAATATATAAGGGAGTTCTATTTAAGTAAATAAATTAGTATTAAGAAGGTTTTACTAAACTAAAGCAAGCTATACTCTCGGTACTAATTTTATACTACTATAACCCGAATCTCTCTATTATAGTTAAGACAGATATATTAAATAAAGTTATAGCTAGTATTCTCTTATAGTAAGACCCCTAGATAGAACTCTAGTATCCGGTAGTATTCTTCTCTAAGACTATATAATTAGTAGAGCTAAACTATAATATCTATAATAAAGAAATACTTATTATTATTCTCTTTTTAACTAAATAGTAAGCGGAGCTAAAAGGCCTATAGGAGGCATCCTTTATAATTTACTTAGACTACCGAGCCCTCGAGTACTTTATAACTATAAAGAAGCTCTTAGTAAGACAAGCTTACTAGGCAAAATACCTTTCCTATTACTATTTTAAGCTTATATATTAGATAGGTAAGTTAAATAAATGAGCGGATATCCTAAATAGGAAATACGAGAATATAACTGCCCAGGATAAGGTAATAGTAGCCTATTAAACCCAAATTCTCCTCCTATAATAAAAAATTAATAATAATATTATACGGGATCTCTAATTAGCCCTAATTAAGGCCTTTATAAGCCCGGCTCAGGAAGAAACCCAGTATAATAATATCTAGCTAGTAGATAAGCTATTAAGCGAGAACCGAGAGTTACCGGAGCTAGAAAAGCTATAGGATAAGACAAGAAATAAGAAGAAAGGCACTTGGATACTATAAGACGGCCTCCTCTTATAATATGGCAAACTATTTATATCTAATAGTATAATAATACCCGAGATACCCTTATATATTATCCTTATTTAGGAGGCATATACATAGCCCCTAATAGGATATCTAGGACAAGCCAAGCTTTAATAGCTTCTTTAGGCCCGCTATTACTAGCCAGGCCAAGATATAGATATTAATTAGTATAAGGACAACTACTATACCTACTAATAATCCCACGTCTCCAGAAATAAGAAGCCAGGGCTCTTATATCTATTACTAGTCCCTAACTGCCCCTAATAGTATATATTAGTGGATTTCAAGAAGTACCTAGAGAATAGGAATAAGTATAATATAGTAGTAATCTTTATTAATTGCCTAGATAAGTGCCCTATTATAATTCCTGTCCGAAATATAGTAATAGCTAAAGAGTTAGTACCCCTATTCCTTACTTATATAGTTCGCCAAGTTAGTATTCCGGAGACTATAGTATCTAATTAAGGCCCCTAGTTTATATCGGATTTCTAAAGCGAGTTCTATAAGTATATTAGTATAAAGCTCAAGTTATTAACTACTAATTATCCCCAAACTAATAGCCAGACGGAAATTATTAACTAGTACTTTAACTAATAGCTATATCCCTATATAAATTATTACTAGGATAATTAGAATAAATAGGTAGTAATAATTAACTACTAGTAGGTAGCTCTGGTTTACGAGATTATAGGCTAATTCCCGTTTCTTATAGAAAAGGGCTATAAACTACGGATATTATTTAATTAGGAAACCCAAGTATAATTAGGTACCCTAAAGGAAGAGCTAAATAAATAGGAGGTAAAGGCCCTAGTAATATGGCTCTATAAATTATGGCAAAAAATATAGGAGAATATAATATAAGTATAAGAATACTATATTACTCAAGCTAATAAGTACTACTAACTAATAGATTTCGGAATAAGAGATAAGGTATAGATTATTACTAAATACTAGAAAAATAATTATCCGAGCCGCAAGCTAGCTTACTAAATAGAAGAACTATATGAAATCCTGGAATAAGTAAGATATTTCTTTAGGCTTAAGCTTCCGGAATTAATAAGAATATATCCGGTATTTTATATAGAGAAGCTATATAAAGATCTAGGCAATTCCCTTCCCGGATAAGCAAATCCGGAGCCTCTGCTATTAGAACTATAAGACAGGGAAACGGAGTACGAAGTTCAAGAAATATAAGTAATAAAACTACTTTATAGGAAGCTAAAGTACTAAGTCTAGTAAAAAGAATAGGACCCAGATCCGAAGTAGTATCCCGCTTTCTTATTAAGTAATAGTGCCCTAGCTTTTTAGAGCTTCTATAATAAGAACCCCAAATAGCCAAGACTACCCCAGAATCTCCTTTATTAGTTAGACTATATCAAGAATAATATATTACCGAAACCATATAATATAAACGGAAATTCTTTAAAGTTATATATAAAAGGCCCTGGCCTTTAATATGTGACCTATAACTTGGAAATTTAATAGAGACTTTCAAAGCTCGGAAATAAGCTTATTTCGAGAAAGAGGGGTAATATTACAGTTATTATAATATATGGTACTAGTAGGGGTTAGACTAGAGCTAGAGAGGCATCTAGTATCTGAGCGAGGTATTTATAGTTACCTAATTATTATACGTGACTCCGAGCTTAAGCTAGTACGTGGGCCCGTATATAGCTTGCGATTATTTAGATCCGAGGCTTCTTTGGGATTCTCTTCTCTCTTTAGCTTTGAATTATTAAAATAGAAATAGTCTAACTATGCCTTCTAGGCCCTAGATCTTATACTCGTAATAGTAACTAGTATTTCTATATTTATATAATAGTATTATATATTACTAATAAACTAATATTAATACTTGTTTTTTAAATTAAAATAATTATAAAATAAATATTTTATAACTAAAAAATAAACTTAAAAAAGCCTAGAACTTTAGTAAATAAGTCTCTAAAATCAGATATAAGAGACTTATAAGCCCTTAATTTATAAGGCTTTAAAAGGCTTTAAAACTAGAACTTAAATAATTTATATATAAATGCCTTTAAATTAAATTTTTATTTTAAGAAATATTTTTATTATAAGTTTAAAGGCATGTAATTATATTATAAGCCTTATAAAATACTAGCTTATACTTATATTAAAAGAGCTTATTTAAGGCAATATATTAAATAATTTAACTTAATTGAATTATTATTTCTAAATTAAATTAAATCTAAATATAATTAATTATAATTAACTATAATTAACTATAGCTAATTAGTTAGTTACATAATTATATATATATATATATTCGGAGATTAAAAAAGCGAAATAAGGCTAAAATAAGGCTTAGACTAGCCTATATCCGGTATTATTTAAGGTATTCTTTACTAAATTAGTATAATAGTACTAGTTAGGGGCCATATGAAAATAGCTATTATATAACTGATTTTACTTAGCTAGCCGGCATTTTAGTAGTTTTAGCTAGTATTTCTTTTCTTTTATTTCCTTTCTTTCTCTCTCTTTCTTTCTTTTTTCTTTTTAGCTTAGTATTTTTAATATATAAGATTCTTGGATCTTTAAGCCCTGGTTATTACCTTAATCCCGCTATTATATTATACTAAGCTAAAAAAAAAAAAAGAGAGAGAGAAAAGGAAAGGAAATAAAAAAAGAGAAATATTAGCTAAAACTACTAAAATGCCGGCTAGCTAGATGAAACCAGTCATATAATAGCTATTTCTATATGGCTCCTAGCTAGTACTATTATAGGTTTTATATATAAATAAGTAATTTTCCTTAAGTTATTTTCTTTTTTTCTTATTTTATAAATAAATATCTTAATAATTATAGCTCTAATTAAGAAGCTTTTAATTATATACTTATTTATTTTACTCGATATATTCGAAAATGCCTTAATAATCTTTAATTAATTTTAATATTTCTTAAAATAAAAAGAAATAAAAAAAGCAGAAAATAGGAATAAAAAAGAGGTTTCTAAAAAGAATAACTAGGTTTTTATACCCGATTTAGACTAGCTTTATACTCTTATATATATTTTATAAGTTTTGTTTATATCTTATTAATATAGCTATTAGTTATTTAATAATCTTTTAAATTATTTAAGAAATTCAAGTTTTTTTAGTATTATATAATAATTATAGTTAATTATAATTAAATCAAATCAAGTCAAAATTTACTGAATCAAATCATAGTCAACTATAATTAACTAGCCTTGATTTTTTTTTTGATATACTGACTTAAGGTCTCTAAATACCTTGGCCCCAAATCGACACCCCAATCGACACCCGGAGGGGCATCATTTTACATATTCCCCCCTTTTCTAAGCGAGATGTGAAGGAACAGCAATACCACCAAAGCCCGCAACTTGTATGGCAAGACTGCAGCTCTTGCATGCAGCGGTACGTGTTGCTTGCGCATTTTGAATTCCATTACCAATGTGTCTGACGTCCCTGAGTGGGAAGGATTCGAGATGAATTGAATGAGTCCCTCATCAAATGTGGGGATTACAATTTGTTATCTTAAGAACATGTTTCGAAAATCAGTCTCCAATCCTAATTCAAAGCTCAGCAAAGCCCACAAAGCCTATCTTTTTAATCCAGCAAATGACTTCAACCTTTGGTACATTTGATAGTCAAGATAGGAGATAAAGTAACACCCGGCTGATCTTTCCTATGCGTCTCGTATTTTCCCTTCACTTTCGTGCAGTCCGCGTTGCCATAAAAGGTACATTGCTTGACGTTCGGTCGGAGTTTGACCGACTGGATAACGGTCTGGAGGTTCGTTGGGATGCTGAGACAGGTGGAGTATGGTCCACTCGCAGCGTAGTATGTGCCTCCGCCGTACTTGACCTGGGGATATAAGCCTACGAGGAGCCTTAGGAATGTTAGTAGAAGGAAATAAAATAGGATTATTTGAGAGAGACGAACGGAAGCGCTGCAGGTAATCCTTGAGGAGCGCCTAAGGCCGGTAGGAAGAGGGTACTTGCTGGAAGGATGGTTCTGAGGAAGCTATTATTGAGCTTCATGAAGGAGGATATTTGAAACTCCGAAAAAATGAATCAAGTGACCAATAGTCGCAGCTTTGAAAGAGAACCTCTCTCCTCCCTTTTATCTTACTCATCGTCAGGGCTAAATCCTCCTCTTCTCTCCGTCTAGCAAGGTCTCATCAAGGATAAAATTAAGTGCCATTACGAAGAAACTTCTGTCACACCGGAACCAGGTTACCAGATATCGCTCGACTCCAACGGCGACCTCCGACATTTGTACCACCTGCAAGATAATTACCTTCTATGTTTCATGCCCGTGTCCCCATTTTGAACACGAGGAAAGTCACCAGAGCTTTGGAACGATCTCGTGGAACAAAGTGACCTCCGATCGTACCTGGAAATGGGTTGGTAGCAAAGCACGGTGATCGATTTACACAGCGTCTGGAGAGTGCGAGTCTACGGTGGTTCTCCAAAACTCCGGAATCTCGGGACTTCCGAAATATCGAGTCATTTTTATTCTCGTGCTCCACGATAGATCAGAGAATTTGCTCTACACTGGCTAGCATGGAAGAGAGAGCCCAGTTATAACCTGGACTTTTTCTCTGCTGAGGCGGAAAGGTGCATTCAGTTGATGCTACGTATTGAATCGGACCGGCATGCTGGCAAATATAGTCTAAAAAAAGGAAAAATACCGAATTAATCGGAATTGTCCGTTCCATACCGTACAGCAATCACCTACATTTACTACTTGACGAAGACCATTTAATAAAGATCTCCCATCTCTTTCGCCTCATCACCTCTTCTCAATCTGCTCTGGTCGCTTCAATCCAACCAACAAAAGGGAAAAAAGAGAGAAAAATAAATTACCAAAAGATCCGTTTTCAGACCACCCAAATCGAAACCAATTTTTAGCAGCAACGACACTTTGCCGTCATCTTTTCGCGAGCCAATATGCATTTCATGACCATCGTTACCACTATATACATTGCCATCGCCCCCCTCGCCCTCTCAAGTCTCGTTCTATCTACCGGAGAGGAAGTAGCCCCGTGTGTCGCATTCCCTTCCCTAACTCTGTTATTCCGAATCTCGACCTAGATTAGAAGCTAATGAGAGTCGTAATATCTGCAGGATAACATCTTACGAGGAGGTTGACTACAACAAACGTGACCTCGTAGCGGTAATTGCAGCCAATAAGAAAAGAAATTTGGCTCCGCGCAATAGAGGCAGGCCGGGCCTTGGCTGGTGTACGGTTATGTAGGCGACTTTTCCGCATCTTGAAGCTGAGAAGTCTGACTACGTCTTCGACCCTCGATCTCTCGAATTCCCTCAAATCAGTTCGGCAGCACAGGAAAGGTACCTTCATTCTTGCTTGCTCTTTGAAGAGAAGCAAATGTGATTTGGATAGACATTTCTTGGGGACGGAGCTGGTACTGGATAACTTGGACTTGCGTCGCTCTATCAAATGTTTTTTGTTTTTATTTATTTATTTATTCAAATTTTGGGCCCAAGGATGGATTAATTTCAATTGATGTGTATGATTGAGAATAGGGTGCTCTGGGATCGGATTCGAGGAGCTATGTGGATGCGGTTTGGAATCTTGGTGTGAGGTGGTTAAGTGCGCCATGGTCACTCCCTCATGAATTAAATCACCTTTTACTTTTAGTGGTAACGCATAACGAACGAAAATAATAGGTTGAGTAAGCTCCCGTCATTGAACTTCAATCTGTCTCACGCACCTAGCATTTGTCCCGGAGCAGGTCTTTTGGTTCGCGTAAGGAAATGGGAAGGTTATGGCCTCTGGTGCCTCACCAAAGATTCTAAGCCTCGATCATTTGTGAATTACAACGAATTGTATAGAATATATATAGTGAAAGCAGTTCCATTCATCCTGCCAACGAAATAAACCGGAACGAAACTCAACCACAGCACGGAGGCAGCTAGAACTATGCCCCATGAACCGTAAACTCAACTTCAGAAGGTGTTTTAGTCATTTTTGCAACGCTAAGTCCTAATGGAAGCTTCAGATATCTGCTTTCGAAATCTCCATCATGTTCACTGCCGTGAGGCTAGTCAGCCTGGATATTGATCTGCGTTGTCCTGAGGATGAAACCATCATCCACAACCTGATTTTTGGAGATCCCCTCGGTCTGCTTTGAGCACTCGGGAAGTGTGTGGTACTTCCTTGAAGCTGACTTCCAGGAGTCACCTCCGGGAATAGCTTAGTATTCGGTATTATAAAGTTCTTCGCCAAAAAGCATATATTGTCAGTAAACATGTTGAGATAAGTCTGGCTGAGGCTATGGCCAGTCGCTAAAATTTTAAGTTGGTTGAAGAGGTTGAATACCATCCTTAGCTTTGTGCTGTAGATGACAAATTTGAAACTGCACCAGATTCCCCATATGGCAGTATATTCAAGGCTGAGGAGGATGATGTCTAGTGCGATGAGCAAGAGATTGGCGTCGATGAGGTGAACCATCGCTCCGCGGAAGCGTTGCTTTTGGAGGGTCTCGCCTGGCTTGAGCATCTTGCGAGTGTAGAGGATTTAGGTACTTGAAAGGACCACCTCCTGGATGAAAAATAGCGCGGCTATCACTTTCTCCGAGATGACGAGGGGCTGGGGAATGGAACTCCCCAGATTATGCTGGACACCCTATTCCATAGATCAGCACCGAACAGACTTTGAAGAATACAAAAGGCATGTTCATCTAGCGTGTGAGACCAGTCGTTATTGAATTGAAGGCAACTACATCAACGATAATCATTCCCAAGATCCCATTCAACTTCCAGGAGTCATGAGCGAGGAGATGAAGACGGAAGTATAGGATTAGTGATTTCCAGTGACCATGCAGGACAAACCCGCCTTGGCCAGGGCTGTTCTGATAAGGGTTAGCCAATTCAAGAACCAAAAGGGAAACGGCGACAGTGTAGAGGAAACCCCCGAGCGTGGAGAATACTAGGCTGAAGAAGTACGAAGTTGCGTGACGTTTGAAGGTCACGAAGATTGGAATAATAATTCGAGACTGTTGTATATAGCGATGCCGAAAGGCATGGAACATGCCGACATGAGGCAGTGTGGTCAAGGACCTGGTTGGAACGCCATTCGAAGAAACGATGTTATGATAGGGCCTGATAGACCTGGAATGATTACAGGCGTTTACAGATGGCAAACTCCAGGCAATAGCCGATTAGATTGAAATGAGGAAGAATTGGTATTTGCTCTAGGGGGCAGAAATCCAAGGTTTTCAACTGAATATAAGTAAGAGGAGATACAACCAGAAACATGCTTGAGATATATAAGAGAATTTAGGGAACAATCCAATGATGTGGTATTGAACATTCATGAATGTTTACGAGGCATTGGGCTAACTCTCCTTTGTTATCGAGCTGGATCTCGATGTTGTATAACGATTAACGAGTGGAGTGAGGGTACCGATTGCATTTGAGCCACAAGCCAGAAATCTGACCCGCGGATACCGTATGTAACCTCAAGCCAACCAATACGTATATCCCGTCCAACTCTCAGGTGTCAGTTCCCTGAATTCAAAGTCAACACTTTAGAATATCAAAATAACGGCTTTATATACTTTGAAACAGCTAGAATATACGGATTTAGAGCCTCTGAATACTAAGGGGACTTAACGATAAAAGCGCCCCGACCGATTATGGTGGAACGGCTGGTATTTCGAAGTGTTGCAACTTCGGGGATGTTGACGTTTAATAATGCTTAGGCGCACGTGACTAAAGCTGCCGTGTCCGTCCGTCTGGGAAAGCAAACGATCGACGTAGTGGAAAGACGGCCTTGCGCGGTGAAAATAAAGTTTGAAAACCTCGCACGTGCATCAATGCACCGCGTGATCAAAAAGCACTGCAATTGTAGCGCAGAAGACACGGGGGTAGAAGAAGCAATTACTCTTCGTTTCCTCGCCTAATCGCCCATTACTAAGGCTTTCCTCCACTCTTCTAAAGGAATAACGCCCTGGTTATCCAGCCCCCTCTTGTTTCAAAAGCAAACAACCTTGCCCTCTACCCAAGCCGCCAATCTACTTAGCCACAGTAGTAACAGCCCCCGTCGTCATATCCAACTCCAATACCTCATCAGCCTCAAAAACCTCTCCCTTCTGGCTCACAAATGTTTTGTCCCTCGCTTCAATAACATCTCGCTTACTGCTATTAATATTCCAGAACCAAGCTTCCGTGTACTCGTCTTCATTCGTCCATTTGTATTCGTACCAGCCGCCGTTAAAATAGTTAGGCCATTGGTTGCCCGGTTGATCGCCCATGCATTGGGTTATGATTTGCTCTGTTGAATCCTGTTCCCTCTATAATCAGCCTTTGTTTTGGGGGGAGGATGGGGGGAGGGGAGGGAGGGGGAAGGCGTACCCAACAATTTTGCTGGGAAACCATGTTACGGGTAAATGCTTCTGCGCCATATGGCCCATCATTGGAGGTGATTTTGAGGCTCTTCCACCAGTTGTCGCCATTGCAGGCTACGGCGCGGATGGACCACATCATTTGAATTGGGTCGGGGCCGGAGACGAGCAGGACTTGATTTGGAGAGGTGCATGTTGCGGCGTTGGAGAGGGGGAGCAGGGCCAATAGAAGTGGGATGAGGCTTGAGGTGCGCATTTTTAGTTTTGAGGGGTTGTGAGTGGGAGAGGGTTGTGAATGGGAAGGGAAAGAGTAAGGGAATGACAATGAGGGAAAGAAGACGAGATTTATACTTTATTTTGAGTTGCAGCTGATTTGTGAGTTCCGTACTAACTGAACTTTAGGGAAATGGTTTGTGAGTACGAGTGATAATTTAGTAATGAATGACCGTATTACTGCACTAGAACAAAGTCAATTTCATAGGAATCTAGTACAGGAGCAAGATGAGATGGGTTTTGTCCGAGAAAGGGCTGAATGGTGTCAAGGGACCACCTGGTCAAGAAAGAGCTTGCTAACTAGAAGCAGGACAAAGCGCTTCTGCTTACGAGAGCTGTACGAGATTTGTCGGCCGCTGCTAGACCACCCCCCACCCCCCTTCCCGGTTGGATTCGGGCCCGCATTTTTATTAAGGACCGCGAGTCTCCGGGCAGTACGAATTGAATGTCTGGCTATTCGCAATTTCGACTAATAAGCCGGTAAGCAGCGCACTGGGTTAACCTGTGTGCTCCACCTAGGGGTGAAATTTTTTTACATAATTATATTATATATAACGGGGTCAGCTTTATTTTATATATAATGGGGTCAGCTTTATTATATGCATAATTTTATATGTCATTTATGGATTTTTTAATGCAAATGACAGGTCACATGGCATGCTTTTAGGACTAAAGTTATACTTTTATTCTTCTCCCACCCATATTCTGCAAGTGGGAGAAGTGGGTCTCACATGTATTAATTTCTAGCCCTGTGATTGGTCCAATTCGAAACCTCCATTGGACCTACATAAAATAACGTATAATGGGGTTAAGAGCTTTATTTATAATTATACCATAATGGGGTGGGGATTATATATAATTATTCACCCCTAGCTCCACCGGGTGAGTTACAGGGGTGTGAATGAGGATTATTGAGGACCCACCGGGTTATTTCTGCCTGATTTTTGACTTAAAGAAAATCGACTTTTTAACCTCAAGATAGAACCAGTTCTATAATACTTTTATAACAGATAAGTTAGGGTTTGCCAGGGGTCCGGGAGGCGGTGAAAGCCTCCCGCTTGAGAACATTTTAGAAATGGTTTTAATATAGTTAGAAAATAGTATTTGGGTTATTTACTATAAAGACATAGTTAATATATAGCGAATAGAATACAGCTTTGCTGTGTCCTGTTCGCTGTGCTATATAGACGGAAAGTTGATGTCTGACGAAAATCTCATCTGGTTACTTTGAAAATGGTTACTTTGAACCCCTGTCACCTCACCCGGCAAAGTACACGGGTTAACCAGCTACGCTAATAGTCGGACTTAACGTCGCGCTAAAGGGGCCCTTCCCTTTAGTCGGGGAAAGCAAGTTGTCCCGGGAAAGCAAGATGTCCCGCACCAAATAAAATCCTTAATAACTTGAAACCTTAACCTTTTTAAATAATTCTAAGTAATAAAATTAAAAATATAAGCCTTATAAACTAGATACGATTCTCTAAATCTTAAAAAAAGATGTGGGTAGAGAGTTATTAAGGTTTTAATAATAAAATTACGAGAAATACAAAAATTATAAGAATTATTTATTCGCAACTATTTTGCGAGTATTAGATCTATGACTTTTGCTTAATTATAAATTTTTATTCTTTTACTTAAAACTTTAGCTCATAATTATGTAATAGATAACTATAAGATTGCAAATAAAATATATTAATTAGATTTTCTATAGCTAGTTCCTAATATTGTTTTTTAGAAGGCAAAAAAAGCTAGTACGGGATATCTTGCTTTCCCCGACTAAAGGGAAGGGCCCCTTTAGCGCGACATCAAGTCCGACTGTTATAGACTCCTAATAAGCTTGATTCCGCGGCATTATCTAGCGCTATTACTATTTGGCGGGGTTTTATATAGTCGTATAATAAGCTTTGAAATATTCTCAGAAAAACTTAAAATCGAAAACTAAGAATATATAAGAATAAAAGATTACTTTAATAATACAATAATTATATATTTAACTAAATACTATAACTTTACTTATTTCTATATATTAAATCGAGAAATATACTAGACTAATTACTTTATTTTTATATATAAGAAAGGCTAATTTAAACTAAAAAATTAACTATAAATAAAACTAATTTAAAGAAAAATTAAGAAATAGTAAAGCTATAATCTTATTTAATATTATTTATATATTTACTAATTATATTATATCTCTTATTAATATTTTCTTTTTATTTTTACTATTATTTTTCTTATATTATTTCTTATTTTCATAATTCTAAAATACTTGCTTTTTATAAGAGATTTAAAATACTTATAATATAATAACAAGTTGTTTTTAGTAAGATTTATTATATAATTAGATATTAATAAGTATATATAATGAGATTAATATTATAATAATATATAAGTAACTAATTTAATACCAAAAATTAATATATATTAAGCTATAAATATATAGTAATAATATATTACTAGATCTTTAAATAATAGTATATTTCTATATTTAATAACTTCTAATTAAAAGTTACTGGGCCAATGCAAATTTGGCCTCAAATATTACTAAAATTACTATTTATTGAGTCAAGACGTTATATAAACAAAGAGAACTGCGGGGACGCTATTAAAGCTCTGAAACACGCTTCACTGCCTTGCTTATAGGTCGAAATTGCGGACAGTCAGAAGTTCAATTCGTACTGTCCAGAGACGCTTCGTTGGGTCTTTCTTGCAAAGTCATCCATTCATGGTGATGTATTGAGCCCCCGGTGAGCAGAACACCATCGATCTCCTCATAGAGCCTCAGCGAGGTCTGACTCGCGATCCGTTGTGCCATGCTAAGGGAGACCATGCTGCAAATTTTCTCGTCCTGTTTAGTGGACGTCATGAAACGGGTGTGGTCATCAGCCTCTTCCTCGGATGATCTACTCTGGCCTCGGAACGGCCTTCATCTCCTACTGCCCAGCTTGGTGTATTCGTGTCACGTCACTAGCTACCTATTCCATGGTAGGAGCTCTCAACAGGCTCCCTATTGCTGTCAGCGGCCTTTTATTCTTCTCTGCGTCAGTCACATTCGAAAGTGCGTCAGCCATCATGATCGGGTTCATCAGTGGTATTGTTCACTCCTGGGCAGAGGTTATACAAGCGCAGATGGACAAGATGTCATTTCCCACAGCTCGAACAGCCGTGGAGCACAAAGGCATAAAACACCCCTTTAGCAGGTGACTATGGACTCAAGTCACAGCGACTTGTAAGTTACAGGTATATTTTCAGTCGGGCATGGCAATCGCAACATCATGGCCCACAATCGAGAAACGCAACGATGTGATGCAGTAAAGATCTTTGAAATTGTGGTTGGGTGGGTGATTAGAAAGAATGCACATATCTTTAAATTGGTGCCTTGGTCAATTTTAAAATTTGGTGCAGAAGCTCTAGGAAGTGTCGACAGACTAACTGGCACAAAAGGACATCGAGCATTGAATGAATTGAAATACTTTTGTCGCACCTATTTTTCGACAGTTGCTCACTAAGCTCCTATCACCTGGGGAACTATTTTACCTGGCGAACTCCTCCCTACCAACTTCTTATTGCTACTTTCATACAGGCTACCGTAAGCTTGACCGGCATAATATCGAAAGTCTCGCTCAAGTTTCGAGTCAACCGGTCTGCAGCGCCTCTATCCACATCCTTCAAGATCTATGTACACGACTGGACAGCTGACTCTCCTCTTTCCATCCTGGCGACTTTCCACATTTTCCCCTTTCCTTAACGCGAACGACAACAAATGAAGCTATCAGGATAGAATTCTACAACCCACAGGGAACAACAAGCGAGACACAAGATTATCCCAGCACGAAGACACAGAACCCAATGGAGACCCTAACAACACCCGCGACCCCGAGTTCACCGGACAAGATAGAGGCAGCAGTACCTGGTTGAAGGAAGTAGCCTGGCTGATTGCGGAACTTAAGAGTGCGACAATAACTCAGACTAGGACTATTGAAGCAATAAAAACGGAGCCAAGAGAAGTGCAAGCAGGAATAACGAACATTGATGGCCCGAAACGAGAGTGTTCGGGGGGGAATCCAATCCCATGAAGGAGGATAAGCGATATAAGGGGAGACTGTAGAACGTGACCACAGCCGGTCACTATCAGGAAATTTGTGAAATTGGACGCGAATGCTGGGAAGAGGAGATAAAGGCGAGATTGGTGGTATCCCGAAAATTTGAGCCTATTGAGAGATAACTCACTAGCTCCTAATGTGGAACAATGCAGAAGAATACGGGAATGGTTTCGTATCATCTGGTGGATCTTTGACAGGCCACCTAGCCTCTAACGCAATTTCAAGGGATTGCGGTTGCTTCTAAGTGTACCTGGTATCCCGTCTAAAGAACCATTGATCCCTATACTATACTGCTCTAAGCCACGGATCCTGCAACAGTTCATTTGCCGCCGGTCTATCCCTGGGATCCAGCTTCATAATCTTACAAATGAACGTCCTGTCCTCTTCGGTGAGTTCCTTATCCTCCGCCTCCGAAAAAGCTTCCATTTTTGATGGTCTATGATGTACTGTATAGCATCACCTGTAAAATTCCATCTCCCGTCCTCTCTTGGAAGAATATCAAAGTAGCTCAGTGGAAAAGGTCCGACAAATGCGATTTGCTTTACTAGAACATGGTTAGGATAAGCCTCATCTCTGGTCCAGCATCCTTGGGATAGGTTGAAGATATGCTAGCCTAATCTCCATATTAGGCTTATGAGCTGAACGAGGTCAGCGAGACGATCGGTGCTATAAAACTGCAGTGGTGTAGATGCGCAGATCTAAGTCACTTACTGTTGTACCAAATGACCAGGTATCTGTTGCAGTGCCCCATCTCAGATTTCACATAGCCTCTAGACTCCTGAACGTATGAGCTCCAATCATATACCCGTTCTTTCCGGGCTTCAGGTGGTCTTTCGAGTTCACGAAACATGCGTCGCCACAATCGCCTAGCCCAGCCTCTCTGAATCGATGTGGCCCGCTGCGATAAATGATGAGAATGCTATCCGGTTTGACATCTAGAGTTTGGTTGGTATCAGTCATGTCTAGAACCCAAAGCAATAAAGCAAAGAGAGAGAGGGGCAAAGCTATTAGCCAATCTCATGAAATGCTTGTAGCGCTTCAATGATCCTCTTCATGATGAATTTAATTTCGGGGGTTTCAGGCCTTTTCTGATTCGACACATTTAAGGGATTATCGTCGAGGCGTTTTAACACTAGGGATGGTGGGTTTTGTGTCTCATCCAGCAGCCGGCGAATTCTTGGCCGGCCATTAAAATTCATGAGGACATTGCGTTCGATTTCCAAGAGATACTTGGGTGCGTTCTTTATGATCACCTTGCCCAGGCTTGGATACCTATTTAGTGTTAGAGACAATGGGGATCGATTAATGAGCAGGGCTTCACACGTAGCAGTCCAAATATCTTTGTGAAGTTGCTTCGAGAGTATGTAGGAGCCCACCTTCCCTTTGATACATTGGCCTACTTTGAGACCAGCAGCTAAACATTGAAATTAAGCGTAATCCTCCTAACGCCACTCCTCACTCGTTGTCTACGGGTTCTAATATTGCATTTTTGCGGGTGCGGTTTGAAAATTCTTCCTTGGTTACTAGACAAGAGCATTAACTAACTGCATCTTGATATAGATCGACCATAGTTCTGGCTGAGAGATAAGGAGTAGTTCTCGGGCAATTGGTTCTAATCCCGTTCTCCCTCGGGCTTCTCGAGAAATCCCGGCGAAGTCGTTCATCTCGGAATGATTTCGTCTAAGTCGTAAGTCGTCTTCGTTTTCGGGCCACTTCTCGCCATTCACAATTCCTTCCACGTAGCATGGGCCCTTTAGCTAATATGTCTCCTCCTCTTCCTTCCGAACTATAGGAAGCCGTATAAACAGGTATAAACATAAAGAGTAAAAGCAAGATTTTTCTACTTTTAAAATATATTATAATCTTAGGGGAAACTCTTTATTTTAAATTCTTTAGATTTTAAAGCTATATAAGAGAGAGTCTTCTTTTATTTCCTTTTAATTATTTTGGAAAGAAAGGAAAAAGAAAGTAAGAAAGACTTTAATATTAGAGAGAAACTTCCTAAATTCCTTTTTTAGAATAAAAGAATATATAAGAAGATAAGAAAAGTCTTTAATTTTAAGAAATGCTTCTAATTTTTTATAAATAAATATTATATTTATAAGTATAAAGACTTATTAAATCTTAAAAGAAGACCTCTTAAATTCGCTTCTCTTTTAAGCTTCCAGTAGTTTTATAATATTTTTTATTATATAAGAGATTTCTCCTCTTATATAAACAATTTTCAGCAGCAGCCACCTCGCTTAACTAAAAGCTAGCTTTATACTAGTCTAAATCAGGCTTTTAGTAAAACTATTATTCATACTCATCAGGCTCCATAGATAGGATTGAGCTCCGCCTCAGCAGATTTCCAACCCCTACCCCTGACTGCCCAGACGTCTTCAACGCCCTAGCTTCGTCTCTGATCCTCTTGTCGAACGCATCCCTCACCTTGAGCACGTCCGTGAGATGATGTTGCTGCAGCTTGGCACCCTGGAACCTTGCAATCGTCCGGGCAGTGTTCACCGCGTTCGAAATCTCTCTTCCATTCAGCTCCCGTAACTCGAGAACTTCCACGGCCTTGCTAATGTTTGGCAGGTCAATCTTGCCCCCTGGGATCTTCTCTAAGTACTGGATCCAGATGCGGCGTCTGATGTGGCTCGCGGGCGGGTCGAAGCCCAGCGCTAAGTGGATGCGGGACCTGATGGCCTTATCGAATGATTGGAGGATGTTGGTTGTGAGGAAGACGATGCCAGAGAAGTACTCGAGCTCTCGCAGGAAGATGGCTACCATAGAATTGCGCTTCCCGTCCCCGCCGCCGGTATCGTCGCGTGCTTGAAGGAAGACGTCGGCCTCGTCGAGTAGGACCACGGCTTTCCATGTGGTGGCGTACTGGAAGATCTGTTTGAGTCTCCACTCAAAAGTCCATGGGCTTTAAATCCATATCAGCACTAGAGTTGAGAAATGATGATTGGTGGACTGACATGTTGTCTCTATTCAACTCTCCCAACGAAGTACTAACCAGAGCCTTGTGCGTCCCTTCAGCCGCTGTCTCTGCAGAAAGCGTTTTGCCGGACCCGGGTGTCCCGTGCAGTAGTATCACTAAGCCTTTGCCCTTCTGTTCCGGCTGATTTCGCGCATTGTCAGGGTACTCGTGCGACGTCACCAACGCTCGTAGGATCAACTTCTGCTCCTCATTTAGTATCAGGAAAGACCACACGTTCTCTTTCCATTTGACGGTGGTAATCTTGTCGACGAGAAAGCGACACCAGTCCTTGCGGCTTAGGGAATAACCAACTGCATAGGGCGGGCATAGCAGCGGCTCGGCCTCGACAACCTTGATGCCGACCTGGTTGGAGTACTGGTCCTCCTGGAATGTCTTCCGGTCTAGAATCACGCGACCGGTTTCCTAGAGCATGTCAGCGCGTGCAATACTCGAAGGAACTCCGAATCAGCTACCGTATAAGGCAACCAGACGCCGTCAAAGTCGGCCATGTCAGGGTGCCAGAACGAGTACGGTGGCTCCTTGAGATAGTGCGCGATGCCGTCATATTCCTGTACCGACACATTTTTGTGGTCAAGAAATTTCTCACCACGTTTTGTAAGCCTCTCTTCCAGATCATCTTCCCCTTTCACAAACCTGCGCGGATAAACAGGCAGATCAGTGATGAAAGCCGGGTTTTCCTGACCAAACTGTTTCTTCTGATACATAATGATCTTGTGCTTGGCTTCTCCAGCTCGAGCTCCATCATGATCAGTGTACGTGCAATGAACTTCCAAGTATGGGCCTTTAGTTGTGCTGACTTCGTACACGGTTTTATGGCATCTCAGGAGCCATGGATGGTCGAGCACTTGAGTATAGACCAGGTCCCCAGGACGGAACAGGATCCAGGCGCTGAAATACGTGATCCGGCCTTCTTTCACCGTCGCCATGATTTTGTCTCGGTCGGGGCCAATCTCGAATTCCATAAACTCGAATAAGAGGTTTAGGTGCATGCGCACGTCCGCATCGTCCGTCTCTTTACGATAGAGGTCCAACTCGTCCCACCAGTGCATCAGCATCTGGAAGGGGCTGCTGAGCTCCAAAGGGGAGTTGAAGTCCGAGGACACGGTGGTGTATGATACAATGACATTGCGGAAGGCTTTCAGCAGATGCGGCGAGTTGACCTTGAGAGTCACAGACCCGTGTCCTCCCTTGTCGGCGTGGTCGCGCCGGATAACCAAGGCATAAGCGTCGTCGCCATGCCCGGTCTCTGCCGCCTTGAAAGGGTCGGTCAATGACTTGAGGGCGGATTCGCCGTCTTTCCTGGTGGTTTTATGGTAGGCTCTGAACTCGCATCGCGAGCCGGTCTTTGGGTCGGGAACGGACATGATGGCTGGCCCGGGTGTTCTGGGATGTTTCGGGTCTGGAAGAGCCAAGGATAGAAGTCAAGCTCGGACGACTCAGGCTAGTTCACGAAACGAAACTTGCAAATCAATCGCATATGTCGAGACGGTGCAGGAGGGGCGCTTCAAAGGCATGCACAGTGGAGGGATAGAAGGTTTTGGTCGATCCGGTCAACCGTACTTGCACATCTTTCGTGGCTGAGGAATGCTCACGTAAGCGGCGGAAGGCAGCAAAACGATTGACAAAATCGTGCAGCTGAACGCTATCACGAAACACGACAATTACTATGACCCCACATATTGCATCACCAAGGCTAATTGTTAGCGGAATACATACCCGCTGTTTAACATCGGTTACGGCGATTCTGTCAACCGCTTGGGCGGACAAGGGAACCGTCTTTCGCCATCCCAACGGGAAGTGGAAAATCTCGCTCGCCTTGAGGGGCACCCGCCACCACTTCCAAAGCTGAAAGAGCAAGCACTCTCATGGCCAAAGCACTATCGAAAAGCCCCCTCGAGAAGGCGATCGACGAGGTCTGGGCAGATCTAAAGCAGAAGGACTATGTGAAGAATGAATTTTACAAGGAGCTTCTCGGCGGCGACCCACAGCTAGACTCTCCGGGAAATGGCACCCCACAGAGCCAACTCTCGGCCGACAAACTGCGGCAGTACATGAAAGACCTCGAGCCTCAAGTCCGAGGCCGACGCGACTATCATATTCTCTCTCGAGTGGGCCCATTTGTTGATAGTCTACAAACGTTGATGAAAACCTGCGAGACGCTCTTTCAAGCCACTCCCTTTGGAGTCAACATCGTATTTTCAGGGGCTCAAATCCTCCTTCGAATCTCGTCGAGCCTCGATTACTTCGATACCGTCCTAGAAGCCATGGATCGGATTGGGAAGATTATAGTGTGCTACGGGAAGTTCGCCGGCGCATATCACGACCCTCAATTTCAGAGGTGTCTGGTCAGTTCATATCAGAAGATCATCCTCTTCTGGGGCAAGGCCTCGCAGACATTGGCACAGAGCAACATCAGAAGAACCATCAGGATGGCGTTTAAGAGCATCGCTAAGCCTCTCGACCGCGAGATTAAGGAGGCCCTAGATGGGATTGAAAAAGATGCCAGGGACGTGCAGCGTATCGCTCAAGCGACTGAGGCGGAACAAACGTCAAAGGATCGAGTGGAGAAGAGGAGAAAAGCAATCCTTGATTGGATTTTAGGCCAAGAGAATGTGGATACAAGGCTTCAGCTCCAGGGCCAGCTCGAACGGCTACAAGCGGGCACTTGCACCTGGCTCTTTGACGATCCGCGGTTCCAGGACTGGAAAGACGCCAAGAATAACGCCATACTATGGTACAACGCACCCCCTGGCTCAGGAAAGAGTATTCTGTCATCGGCCGTGGTGAACCATCTTGTCGGCGAGGGCCAGGATGTCGCGTACTCGTTCTACTCTTTCAGCGATCCTTGGCGCCGCCACGGCCTTAACGGCCTGCGGTCTCTGGCACTTCAGCTTATTATCATACTAGAGAACCACGACCATCCCATACCGGATAAGGTGACGAGCATCTACGAGCACTCAATCAAGCTAAATGTCTGCACCATGAATTCGCTTGCGACCGCGACACAGGTCGTTCATCAGCTTATCAACGTGTGCCCTCACGTCTACCTCGTCATCGACGGGCTCGACGAATGTGCTGAAGAGAATCAGATGCTCTCTATGTTGGATCTCCTTTTGCAGACACGAACGAATGGTCTCGCGAAGTGGCTCCTCACTAGCCGCGGCGATCACTCCAAGATTCGTGCGATCATGCAGAAGTACAAAGCTGCCTCGATCACTCCTGAAGACCATGTCATCTCGAACGATATCCAGACATACTTCTCCGCGACAATGACTTCAAAGTGTGAGAAGTGCGTTGCAAAGTGGGTCGAAGACTGCAATGCCAACTTTTTGTATGCGAGCATCATATGTAACATCCTTCGCGGCAAGAACTTCACTTGTCAAGAGGAGATCGATCAGGCGCTTCGAGAGTTTCCCCCAGAGCTGAATAAATACTACATTCAATTCCTGGAAAAACTCGCAACACAGTCGGAACAAAAACAAGAACTTGCCAGGTGAGCACGATTTCTCTCTCTGCGATCACTTTAAGTGGCACGCTAACACTCGAACTAGACGTGTGTTCCTAATACTCACGGCCGGATCTCAATCCATCTCGCTTAACGAGCTCTTGAATGCACTCGCCATCCGGCCTGGCACCAGAGATCATAGCAGATCACGCGAACGGGAGCTGAGAGACATTGAGGACCTATGCCTGCCGCTTATCACATTCGACAGAAGTGGTAAGGGATCAAAGGACAACCCCGTCGTCAAGCTCTACCACAAAACGGTTCAGGACTTCTTCCTTCAAGGGCTAGATACGCTCAACGACAGACAAGACTTACGGAAGTTCTTCGTCACGTTGCAATCTTCGGCAATGGAGATGGGCATGAACTGCCTAACGTACCTGCAGTACGAGAGGTACGAACAGCCGTTAGACCCCAATGTCTTGCTGACCGAGAACTCCAAAGAGCATGCCTTCTTGCCGTATGCTGCCACGTTTTGGTTTCAGCACTTGAGAGATACCCAGCCAACCCCGGGGATCGACAAGCAAATCAAGGATTTTCTCAAGAGCCGAAACTTTTGGACCTGCCTAAGCGTGCAGAGCCGCGTAGCCAAATACCTATTCGCGCGATTCACCACCATGGCGACCGACCTGGGCGGCGCATATACGATGGGAATCAAAAGCTCAGAATTAACAGGATCTAAATCTTTGGTCGGATTGCCGCTGCCGGAGTGGTTCGACATCTACTCGCAGGACGGTAATATTCTGGACCGCTCCTTCTGCTGCTTTGTGGAGGAGTGGCGAGAGGTTCTGACCAGGTATCCAGAGGGCTTGGACCTGTGCGTGCCGCTGAGACAGTTCCCAGAGAGCTGCCACCTCACGCCTCTTGGTTGCGAGAAGAGGATCAAGGCTGCGTACCTTGAAGAGGGGTATAGAATGCACGCGGTATCAGAAGTCCACTTACTCGATGTGTCCTTCTCAAAAAAGACACTTTGGGCAGACGTATTGTACCGGGAGAAAGTTGATACAGCTCAGGTGAAAAGGTCGCTGATACCGCTATACTCGCCCAAGAAGAAGCCGTCCCCACCGACCAGCCACTCTCTTCCATTAGTCGATGGCTGGCTAATGTCTGTAACGCAGCGGGATGGGAGAGAAGCCATTGTTGAAGCGTGGAGCATCGATCCTCAGACGCTGGAAGTGAGACATACAAGAAAGGACTTCAGTGAAAAATACAAGGCGCCGTCATTTCTTCACCAAGATGTTATTGGGAGGAGAGATGGTAGCTGGGAGGTTTCGTCAACGGACACCGTGACTGGCTCTGAAAAGACACCGTTGATTCGAATATTTCACATGGTCTGGAAACCGAAGAAGAGAGAAATCCAAGCGGATGATGAGGATGACGAAGAGGACGATGTTGATTCTCTGGAAGCAGACTCAAGTGAAGAAGAGGACTCAGACGACGACATATCGGACGAAGAGGCCGTATCAGAGGAGTCAGAGTCACATGATGACGGAGACAGCGAGGACGGCTCATCTGAAGCCGAGTCGGAAGACGGAATGGGCAGCGAGGAAGAATCTTCGGCGACCGAGTATAGTTCTGACGATGGCAGTTGTGTCAACGACTGTTTGATATTGGTACCGCAAAGTGGCGAACCATATTGGCACAACTGGTCGAGCTCGTCAAGTATATGGCGCAGAATAGCATGCGCTACACACCCAAGTTTACCACTGGTGGTTGTGACACATACGCCGAGTCAGCTGGAGTTGATCAGCCTAGAAAAGCAGACTCGGAAGACGACGCACCTCCCTGAACTTTCGGACCTACGGGATGCCCCAGAGGCAAGCACGCGAGGTGGGTTTCGCACTTCACCAATCTCATCACTATAACTGACAACCAGCCTCCCAGAGCTCCGTTTCTCCCCTTGCGGCAACTACCTCCACTTCCTCTCTATCGCCTTCACCTCCGACCGAACTAGCACAACCTGTCGCCTCACCGCCTCGACCTTCAACTTCAACGCCGGCGGAAACGTCGACAACACGCTCGTGCGCGAGTGCCAAGCCAGCAGCTGCACCTACACCTTCGGCGACCGGCTGTGCGACACGCCCCACCCCCTCGCGCTGACGCACTGGGCCGACGACCATGTCCTCGTCGCCCTGCCGCCGCTGACATGCGACCCCAAAATCATCAAGGTGGCCCTCAACTGCGCGGGCGACAACGCCGTCTCGACGCTGCGCAAGCCGATCTACTTCCCGGCCTCGACGCCGCGGCGGAAGGCGCGCTTGCTGTACAGGCCGGGCACGGACGGGAAGGACGATTGCGTCTACCTGGCGCTTGGTGCGTTGATGGCAAATAGTTCTGGGGATGCATCATTGCCGGCAGACGGTGCGCAGTTGACAGGTGACGAGGCATCCTCAGAAGATACCCCAAGTCGAGCAAGTCCCCCCGTCGTCGTTCGGTGGAAGGTAGGGCCGGAAGACGGATGGGGGGCGTGGGATGCCGAGACTGACTCCAAATCGGGCGATATAAAGAAGGAAGGGAACCTGTGGAATGTCTTGAGGGGAAGCTTTGTGGAAAGTGAGAAATGCTTTAGTGTTCCTGTTCGCAGCGGGCTGGACTGGAGGCGGAAGGGGTACTTGAGTTGTGGATGAATGTGATGATATGATTTCCGTGGGTAGATATTCCCTGAAGAGAACGAAGATCCCAGGCTCCCAGGGTTCCCTTCTCAAAAGTTGCCTACTCTGTTATCGATGCGATCGATCGTGTCCACCGTAGGGTCATATCCTTGCTCCAGGTGATGTTGTCACACATGAAAGAGTAACAAGACTACAGTCTGCAGCAAGAGTTGAAAAGAGGCATACAACCTTATCAAATAGCCTGGCATTAACAACTTATAAATATAAATATAAATATGTATATATAATATATTAACTATTTCTTTAATAGTATATCTTTTAATTATTAATTAATATATTATTTAGGAAACTTATTATTAAGAAAGCTATTATGAAAGATAAGAAAATAAGGCTTATATAATATATATATTTAATATATATTAACTTCTTTAGCTATTGCTGTTATTGGCAGCGATTCGATTTATCTTCTCATTAAGGCATCCTCAATTCAATAAACACTAAACTACACTATGTATCAACTGCGCTCTTTCCCCTCGCTTGTTTGTAGCACTCAGTACAACGTTTCCGGAACTAGCCAAGGATATCCCCTATCAAACTGCGAAGATCCACGTGATCTAGAATCCTGCGATAAATCTGTACAGTCTGCGCCACAGGTTAAAAGTTTCGACTGGAGGAACGTTTGATCTGGCTGGGTATTGACACCGTCTTTCAATACTGGGATTTCTAATGCGAATTCTTCAATAGCAAGGCTACTTTCGCAGTTCATCCATTTTGTTCCACCTTGGGGAGCTGTTAAACTAAATCCACTTCTACCAAACATTTCGGAAATGCTTGCTGTGATGGCTGGCAATACACTGCTTCTTAGTTCGATGAGGTCAACGTATAACCATTTTTGGAATTATACTGCGAATGAACTGGACCCAGGGATATATCTCAACTTCAACGCTTCTTTGGCATCACAATAATACCCCTCTGGTGCTTTACAGAGATGGCAAGCCGTATTTTACATTATTTATTACTAGTATTTGTCACCAACATATTTTGTCTGGTCTATTTCTTCCTCCGATTAAGTCTTGTGACGGACTATATAGAACCTCAACATCTCTTCGCTATAGCTGTCAACAGCCCGCCATCGCAAAGGCTAAGAGGAAGCTGTGGAGCCGCGATGGAGAAACACCAGCTGAGTGTTTCTTTCCATGCTAGGCAAGAGGAAGGATTGAATCAAAAAAAAATTATAAAAGAACGCAATTATGGGAGTGTCGAGTTCGAATTGAGGAGAAGGGATCGGCAAAGTTTAAAGTCGGTGACTGGTTATAGCAAGCTTAGTAGTAAGCGGAGAAGTTTTTTGTAATAAGCAAGTAAGAGTATACGCCTTTACTCTGTATTATTGGAAAGTGATCGATTTATTGATGGAAAATCGATATATTGGAGGTTGACAATCTGTAGAATGACTAGATACAGGAGAGTGAAGTGTAAAAACAGAGGAAAAGTGTCTAAAGTAAGGGATTTATTCCCATTACCCTTCGGCGATACCGGTGATGCCGAGCCCGCTTTCTCCGATACATTATCAATCAGCTGATAAATCAAAAGTAATCAAAATGACGATATACTAGTAAGCTTGGTAAGCTCAGCGAGTGACGCATGACAAATGAGAGTGGAGAACCCTAAATTAGTGGTTGAACCTGGTGCTGGAAGGACTGGTGAGCTAGCTATGGTAGCGTACCAGTTTCAACATGTATATACCTTAATACAAGTGCAATTTTCTTAACTACTACTTATTTAATTACTTTATAATTATATAGTTTATTTATTTAGATATATTATTATAATTTAATATAGTTTATATACTTTTATACTTAATAATGTTCTTAAGCTTACAAGTAATATAATATATTAAATATTACTAATTCTTAGGCTTTACTTTCTTCTATAGCTTCTATAATACTTCCTTTATATTATTTTTTAATATAAGTATATTATTAAGCTTTATAATCTCGTATTTTATTTATTACCAGATCTTTTTAATAGGATTAAGGTCAGTAAATAAAAGTAGCTAGTTAAATTCACTAATTTTTATAACCGGAATCTAATATATTTCTTAAATAATTATTAGTTTATTAGAAATATATAATATTATTATATAATTATAAAATATTATTTATATTAAATTAATAAAATTAGTTAATATTTAGAAATAAGAATTGTAATATTATAATATTAATATATAATTCTTATACTTACTAAATTTAATAAAAACTAGTTCATTAGTTAAATTATTTATAAAATATAAAATTATACAAATATGTTTTATATTTTATTACTTATATTTTATTACTTATATTTTATTACTTATATTTCGTTTTCCGAATCTCGTAATTATTACGAAACAGGGTCTCTGGGCTTGGAAAGCAAGATAGAGCGGCTCTTAATCCGAGAATTCTAAACTAAGGAAGGAAGCTCGTAAGTACAGGAACTTTGGTATTCTAAATACTAGCCAACCGCATGTGTTATCGCGTGGTCACGTGACGCTAAATTTACTAGTAAAGCGGCAGAGTATAATAGTAATTATATATATAACTTTTAAAGAAATAGCTATACTAATAGTAATAAATTCTTGCAAATAGCTAGTTAGTTTCTAGTTATAAGTTTAATAGAGGTTTTTTTTTTCTTAGAAAATATAATAAAAATATATAAAATATATTAAATAAATAAAGAAATTAAGAAATCTAAATTAAGCTATATTAGAGAATAATATTTAGAGATATATATAAAAGAGATTGAATTTAAGAAATATAGCTAGTTATATTTAGGCTAATTTGCCGGCTATAATTCTATTATAATATAATTATTAAAGAAATAAAATAAAAAGAATAAATATTAAGCTTTTACTATATGTAAAAGCTCTTTTAAAAGCTATATTCTAAGACGTAAAACTTGCTTAAAAAAAGCCTATATATAGTATATTTATATAATACTTCTAGTAGCTAAATAACTATAATATATAATAATAAAAATATAAAAAATTACTAGTAAAAAGATTAAATTCATAAGAAAATACGCGAGAAAATATGAAATTATATATAAAACTCTTTGAAATCGAATTAATAGATCAAAAGTAAAGAAATAAAATATAATAGTAAAATAATATTTATTAGTAAAATAAAAAGTAGTTATTTAGTATTATAATTAAAAAAATACAAGTTATAAATTCTTATTTTAAAGAAAATTTAATAAGAAATATTACTATAATAATATAAAAAACCTTCTAATATAATCTTTTATATTAAGCTATATATTATTAAAGAATTTGGGATATTATATAAGATTTTTAATTAATTATATAGGAATTAGTAAAAAATAAAAATAGCAGAATAAATATTAATAGAAAAATATTAAAAATGCTATTAAATAAATAATTTTAGTAATATTATATAGTTTTAAAGTAATATATAGCTATTAGGGAATTGAGAATACCATAAAGTATTAGTATCTAATAGGAATTATAATTCTATTAAGGTATTAATTAAATATTAAGATTTTTGGGTTGGGCGGTTGAGTAGTTTGGGTGGTTGGCCAGTGAACCCTTCTAATCATTTCTGAACTACAACTTCCTCAGAGAGAGAAAGCATTCTCAGAATATCTATCACCTAGTTGACTTGCAGGTGATGGATCAAATTTTTTGACGGGCTTACCGAGCCTCTAGTTCACTGACACGGGGCATGAAATCCAGAACAATCACCCATCATAAGTAAATTTAGCCCTTGGCCTGATAGCAAATTCCGGGTTCGCCATCTGAAGACTTTTCTTTTCCCCCTCACTACCGGGCATCACAACTTCTCCGTACACCACTTCTAACCCTCCCGCTTCCTTCAATATTTTCTTCATCTCGCTATTCGACCTAAACTCTGCCAAAAGTGGCGCGTTGAAAGCCTTGGCAATTTCGATTGGGCTGAAGGACATCTTTCGTCCCAGCTGCCACCAACCGAGGAAAGTTGGAAAGACTAACACAACTCCAAGGAACATGACGAGCAACGCACCACCTAAGTAGTGGTAGTGAGAGACGTACACTTGGACAATGGCGATCTCGGTTGCCTCGAAAGTCTGGTCGGTAGTTGAGTTGGTCGCGGCGATCGCGGTGCGAAACCCAAGTTCCCGAATACCAGCGATTATATCCGGTGTCGGGTCTGTCCAATACATATCGCAAGTTCCCAAGGTACTCGAGTTGGCGACAAGGTATTGAATGGGGATCGAGCCTGAATACATAAGGGACAAGGGGGTTCCATCAATGTAAAAACTGCTAGACGACTCGTATTTGGTATACGCTACGCTGTAAATCCCACCTAGAGTGGATGGCCACTGGCCAAGCCCGTGGACCTCTTGATATAGCTGCCATACTTTGATCGTATCGTTCGCGTCGGTTGGGCGTGGCAGGAGCTCGACGGTGCCATTGCTGACCTGGACTGGGTAATTCACCTGAGAAATATTGTATTGGCAATCGGCAACGGCTAGATTGCCTATGCAGCCTGGAGTAGACTTGAATGCAGTTTGCACGCGAATCAAACCATCATATCCATCATTGTTGAAGGTAATGTTGGTGGAACCCATCCCATAAGATGTGCCCGCGGAGTACTCGCTAATGTTGTATGGCTGAGTGCTGTGCGAGCAATGTACGTCAAATCCAGCAGCTTGAAGGGTGGTATTGCATACGCCATTGCACCCGGTATAGTTGAGTTGGATAGCAGTTCGATTGTTGAAACCCTGCATCACTTGCTGAACAAAATCAAATTTGGGGAAAACTGTCCCAGAATGGCCTGTCATCACCGCAGTGTATCCCAAAGGCAATGGGTTTGGCGAGATCTGCGCTGTTATATTCGCTGGACTGACCAGAGGTCGTGTCGTAGAGGAAGTAGCTTTTTGGAGAAGAGGACCATCAATTACAACAATACTCGCTATGAGTGTTCCCAAAGCGATACGGTTGAAGTGCCTGGTCGAGGTGACTGAAGCCAAGACGCTTGTGCCATATTCCCAGTGGCGATGGAGATCCCCAACCGTGCTGCCTCGGAGTGCCTCGACCCACCAAGCGATGCTCCATCCTTGAAATAATGCATAACGCAACAGAGTATTTCCAATGGCTGCACATATCGAGAGAAGAACCGCAGGTTGGATTGGGTGTTTTTGGTCGGGCCAGGTTGCAGTCGGTTTGCCGTCGGAGTCTTTAAGGATAGCCACCGGGCCAAGACAGCAAATGGCGACACCAACCAGCGCTAGGAGCCCACCCCAAGGAAGTTGTTTGAATACCCCCGGTACCCATGGATCTCCCATTCGTGCTGTTTCGTAGGGCGGTGTTTCTTTCATGACCTTTTCTTTGGTAGCGTGCTCTGATTTGGTTTCTTGTTCCATTGTACAGTATACCTAGTTCATGTTAGGAGACTAGCATAGCATCAAGAGCGCTTGGCTATTAAGGAACCAATACTGACCACGGGCGATCTTTGGTTCTATAGATTATCTGTCCTGTCCTAATTATTGTGTTAATTAAATTATAGACCTAACAAATGTATGAGCACAGGGCACATGGACTTGGAATGGAAAGTGGGCTTCGGGCAAGTCAAAAACCACAGAGTGGCGTTATAGAGTGGGCGTCCTCTTTATATCTTTACAGTGGAGGAGGGCCGAGTACTTGGACCCCTCCAAGGCGCCTCGAAGCAAGCAGGACCACCAAAAGGGTGGGTCAAGGTTTCCACGGAATCTGGCACTTTTACGAACGGTTGGCTGTTTCCGGAAGCCCTGCACTGAAGACCGGCTACCAAATCTGCATTAGCGCCAAGCAGCCCTGAACGGCACATGGGAGGGTGCAGAGTATCAAGAGGGAGCTCATCGGTCTTAAATTTATAATCTTCAGCCCTCGTGTGGCTTGCTACCAAACTGAAGGCATCTCTTTTTTGCCACATGGCAGGAATTATATAGACCGCAACTGTTGAACGAGTTTCACTATTCTATAAACATTCAAAATGGAACTCTCTATCGATCGCTACAGCGTTTTATTAATTATAATAATCGATCGCTGGATTATTTTTTGTCTATAAGCAACCAACCGCCCATGCTGCGAGAGCCAGAGCTTCGGGCTGAACTGGTGGCGGAGGGAATATGGCTGTTACGGTCAGATAGAAACGGGCAATTATAAGCGAATCTTTGCAGAGCGGTTGAGTGGCGTGGGCGGTTGTCGGGTGGTCCCCTTCGATTATGTTTGTGTGGCAGTACACGATTGGCTAGTTGGTGGTTGCTTTGCATACATGTGAGTGACAACCAATAATAAACAGAAACTGATAGTACCCTGGACCGCTTTTCTCAGCCTCAAAAGCCAACCCGAAACTTATTCGAGAAGACTAATAAAACCTGTGCATATGCAGCACGCACCGAGTTGAGAGTGACCCTCCAACATCGGAGGACTTTTGTTATGTCGACTTGCCATTTAGCTAAGTCAACTTGTGCTAAACTTGATCGGATGTGCTCACACAGCACCCACCCCCAAGATACAATTCATTCAGCAGGGGTTTTGGATAGCCAGCGCAGCGGACTAGAGAACTCCGGGGGCCATCCTGCCCCCACGCAAGTTCCAGGAGGAATCCATGGCCGCCTACGCTCTCGCTCACGCCCAACTTTGATATTATCTTTTAAGGCAGGGTGAAGTTCTGGTGGGGAAAGCCCAAGGACACGGACTTGAGCACATCCTGTTCGCAGAAGAGTGGGTTCTAGTGAAAGCGGGGTCTTGCGGCTGCGTTTACGAGCAAGTGAGCAGTAGTCTGTGCATTCAGGCCTGTTTTTCAGGCATTTTCAGGCTTCTCAAATTCGCTTACAGGCCGTGGAAAACTAAAGTCTGCTTAAACACTTAAAAGTTATGAGATAATAAAGAATAGGCACGACTTAATATTTAGGATTAGGGAAGTAAAGTAACTAAAGCATAACTTGATGAATTAAATTTTAAAGATTTTATCGTTATTTATTAGTAAAATGCTCTGAGCGCACTGACTACTATCGGGAGGTTCGTTAGTGAGGAGTCCTTAACCTCAGACATTAACCGCCTTTAAACCCAACTTTCGATACTAGTCGTGACTTGAAACATTTATAAGCGATGTGAGCATTGTTTCTCCGCTGTAGGATTTTGTACTGCTCAATTTTGGATCTGACGTCTTAGCTCCGGTACTGAGCTGTAGGTCATGTTTCGGTGCTGACCTCTCTTATTATTAAATGACTCCGGAGTTTTCGTATCAGCCGCCACCAGACGAAAATTTTGGCCACTACGGCCAACATAAAATCTTCCGGGGTTGGGGCGGATGTTCCGATCTTCGGGAGGGTGCATTTGGTGGCATATCAGATTGAACGGCAGCAGCTCAGCCCTAAGCCACGTTAATGGAGCTTCCCGGACTCCAAGTTGAGTGGCAGGTATATGCATATGGCTCGCTTATCAGAATGTCCATAATCCCTATTCCGGCAATTATTAGCGTTCATTTTGAGCCCATTTAGCAGCCATAAAACAGACAGAACACCACTCGATTCTATTCTTAGCCAGTGCTAGAAGGGGAGTTCCGGGTGCAGAAAAAAGCCTTCTGTTGACAGCAAGCGCAAAACTAAGGTAGGAGAGGTACATCCTGTCACGTGCTGCGCACAGGCGTATATATAGCTTCTTCACCGCCCTTAGGGCACCATTATTCATTACAAACATACACAAACACACCCACATTCCACTTCCACAGCTTGTCCAGGCCGTGTCACATCCTCTGAAGCCGCCCTAGTAGAATGTCTTACGGTAGTTCCTATTCACTTGCCCCGCCGTTTATACTTATTATCTTTGGATCTCGGTTACAGCCTTGTGGCCACTGCTCTGAGTCAACCCGATTAGTTACTAAACATTTGAGAACATGGCTGCATTCTATCCATTCTACTGTACTTTTCTCCACGGCTTTTGTAAGTCTTCCTAAAGAAGCTCGTTAGTTTTCTGCATCGAGGCCCAACGACAAAGCCACTATTATTGCACCTTGCAACGGTGTAAGACCTGGTCTTGCGAAGATTGCGGCATAAAGTGGCGGGATTACAAGGTATTATGAATCAATTTCTTTCCTTCTTGTGCTTCTCATTCGGTTAGTAAGCTTGCCGCTCTTGCTCCAGGGGCTAATCACCCTCTGCTCACCTCCGGCTCAGTCATCTCGCCTGAGCACACTAAGCACACTAAGAACCCTGAGCTGCTCACCTAAGCAAGATTTACCATATCGTCACATGTTTTGACTTGTCACTTTTTAGCCAATCACACTTAATCCAACCTCTGTTCTCTTGCATCATTTTATCAAGTTTTAGCGATCATATTCAATGAGCCTAAACAAGTTCCCAAGATACCTAGAGTAAATACTTCCTAAAAATATATCCCCTCGTCGAGGGATATATATATCTACGAAAGGGTTATTCTGCTTGTTTTGTGACTTCCAAGCGACTTCCAGCTACCGACCTCATCAATTTGTGCGACACCGCTTCGTGTATATACCCCAGGTTTGCCCGAGATTGGCGACAACAACAAGAACGAGACCAAGAAGCCCAAAGATAAATTTGAAACCCTGGAAAACAACGCCAAGCAATGAAATTCCATTTCGTCCTCAATGTCAAAATCTAGGACGGCTTCTCCGAGCTTCCTCCTTGCTCGTTCGTCGAACAATTCATACCGGATATATCTCTCATCTTCAGCTGGAATCTTTCGCACCCGGAGAAGTTTGAGAGAGCCAAGTATAACCAGGGTACCACTTGTGACGCTCCCAAGCGGCACGTCTCGGTTCTTTAAACTTATGTTAAAGCTTTCAATCTCAATCAGGGTAATAAACTCGTCATCAAGGTGATATTTCGAGATCGGCCAAGTAACAATGCCGGTCCGCGATATCCAAGACCAAGATGGATGGCTATTTTCTAGGTCCTTGCTTTTTGGACGCCCAAAAATTTGCCAAGATAGCCCAATTTCGATATTTTTGAGCCAGATGCCAGCCAGGTATGGAGATTGAAGATGCTGTTGGAAAAGGGTTGCGACGGCGGAGATGGCGGGCAACTTATCGGAGGCAAATGTCAACTTGCGAAGAGAGTATGACATGGTAAGAATTTCGTTGTACCAGACATGTAAGATTTCTATATTTGATAAAGCCGATAGTTTCATTGGTAGCCTGGGCAAAGTGTCGGCGCTTCGATCCCAATGCAAGATGTTGTCCTGAGATATGAAACCTGCTCGACATTCCCATACCAGGCCGTAAGCTGTGTAGTGTAGGACACGACGAGACAATACTTGCTCCTGAAAAGTCCAAGCCCGGGCTGTCAATGCAGTGGCTTGAATAGTATCGGGGTTAGAAAATGTAGCCACAGGTGCAAATAGACATAGCCTGCTCTTAGATCCATTGTCGAGAACAGTAGATATTTCCGCCTTGAAACCAACACCATCCTCGAGGGTTAGCAGATTACGTTTTCTCACATCATTGAAACATCCTTCTGTTGACGCCTTGCTGATATCGACAGATACTGTAAGCCATGCTTTGTGGTAAATCATTGCCATTTTGGCAACTTCATTGCCTATATCAATGGAGCAGTCTTGAATGATGCATAGAGCATCAATCCACAGATATTTCATGCCCAACTTCTTGCAGATCAAAACAGCGTCTTTTAGTGTAGCCGGGAGCTTTGCATAAGGTATCTGGTGCATGTGCAGTCCCACGTTGTCCTTCGTCGTTGTATACGATTTTCTGTAACCCCAGCAGTAGCTCAAGGCGATGTATTTCGGACAACGGCTCGTGTCAGAAAGTTCGATCAGGCGAATAGAATTGTTGGGGCTAGGACAAGATGCAGGATGCAACTCAACCAGTCTTCTAGGCTGATCTGAGCTGTTTGACTTTAAGAATGACTGGGAACACTGAGGGTGGTATTTCAAGCAATTGTTGATCCAACTTCGAGCTGTGCCAAATGACTTCTTTGAGCTTGTCTTTGTGACGTGGATTATGGGAAGAACTCCAAATGCAATAGCAGGATCCACTAAATTGAAGTTAGGAAGTCGAGCAAATTTGAGAGGCAAAAAAAAAAGGCAATAAAGGGAAGAAAAAGAGGAATTTCCACGTTAAGAACAAATTGCGAAACGGTTCTCACCCTTTGTGGTCGTGTTAACTGCAAAAAAATCATGTTGGAAGTGAACTGGCTTGTAATCATCGAACAGTATCTCGGCCACGGCCCCAAACGAAGAGCCCGCAACTTCAGCACAATATCTCTTCAGCTTTAACCGAACGGTACATCCCTCGGCAAAATGTTTCCCGTTATGAAGCCCTGCCGCCTGCTTAGTATAATGCGCCAAGTGTTGGCATAGCGAGCATCGCTCAGCGCTTTGTTGCAGAGCCGAACCGGCGGCCAGATGCTTAAAGCCTCGCGAGCTTGCGAGAGCCTGAATGTTTATAGAACGGCAGGTCTCGCAAAGACCGATTGGAGGCAGCTCACAGTCAGCCTCGTTGGCTTCAAGATCGTGCTCGACCATGTTGTAGATTATTTCGGATATGGTATAATGCTAACCAAAGGCTAGTTATACCTTGAGGGACTAACCGTGAGGAACGAACAAAGATCCGAAAAGTTTCCTTTCTTGTTCCCAGTATCAAGGGTTGCACCCCTGGAGTAGTCTTGGAGTGCTCTGGCGACTCATAAGCTAGCTTACGGACCCACTACGGGCGCACGTGACGGAACCTTCTAGCAACCCTTGTTGAAATTAGGGGCCTGAGGCCCCTAATAGGCTTAGTAAGCCCTGGAACCGAACGCCATGGGGCTGTGCACTAGCTTAATACCCTATCCAGCTGGAATACCCTGTACAGCTGGAATACCCTGTATAGCTGGAATCGGTTCAGCTGGCATAGGGATTTAGTACATGTGATTTAGGGGGTTCAGGGCTATATATACGGGCTACTTACCACTGTAGAACAGCAGTCAATTCAGTACGTTTTACTTGGTTTACATTGCAAGCACGTGACCCTAGCTTTATTACTTAGCTAGTTCAACAACCCTCAAAGCACGTAATCGCAAGGCTTCTACCATTTCCGCTTATTTTTCTAAGATAATCGAGGTATATTAAAAACTAGTTTTTAATAAAACGTATATAATTTATAAAACATATATAATTTATAAAACATAATAATTTATAAATTATTATTTAAATCGATTTTATTATTATTATAAAATACTTAATTAAATTAAATTATATAATAAATACTATATATAATATAAGTTATATAATAAATTAATATACTTTAAATGAAATTTTATAATTACTATTTTATTCTTTAATAAAAGAAATTTAAAACTGCTTTAATAATATAATATATATAGGGTCGCACGTGACTTAAGGGCATATAATAAACCTCGGATATTACGGGTATTAATTAGGGAGTTCGGTAGCCCTTTAATATCCTAACTAACTACTATTTATATTATATATATTAGGCTTATAAATTACTAATTATATATATGCCATTGGGGCCTCCTATTTAGAGGGGGCTTCCCTAGACCTTATAGGAGGGACAGAGATTAGTTCTGTACTAAATTTAATACTATGGTTTTATAATATACTAATTTATTCTATTATCTTATTACCTACTAATAAATACCTTATAAGCTAATCTCTTTACCCTCAAAGAAGATAGTTTAATAAGTAATTATATCTCGAAATCTGCGAAATATATAACCCCTTACTAAAGCTATTCCTATAGAGAAAGTTGACCAGATTAACCCTAATATGAGTAATAGTAAAGGCTCATCTAATACTTTTAACGGGACCCCTTAGGAGCTTCCGAGAGCCAGTAATAATAACGGAAATAATCCCGGTAATAATTAAGATACCGAGATTAATGCCCGAGTTACTACCGCCCAAGCTACGGAATAGGGCTTATATACTAAAGTTAAAGTACTCTAATAAAAGCAAGAATTAGTAGATATAATTAATTAGTATATCCTATAGTTAGAGTAATATAAGAGTACTCTTAGGAATATTTTGCGGTTTACTATATCTTATAGAAACTCTATTTATAAGTCTATTTCTTCTTCCTTAGTAATTCCTACTAGGGAACTTCCTGAAATAGGATTAGAACCTACTTCCTTTCCTAATATAATAAGCTTTAAGAGTAATCTTAATATTATTTATTAGAAGCTACTATATAATATCCTAAAGATATATTTGGACCGAGAGAAGCTTCTTAAGGTCCGGATACCTGACTTATATTATGGAAAGTTTCTTAAGAAATAGAGGATATTTATATCCTCCTAGGAGGTAGTCTTTAGGACCTAGCCTTGGACTTATAATAGATACTTTTCTAGAGTTAACTCTATTATAAGTGCCCTTAGGAATAAACCTTATAATACTTAGGAGGCTATAATAAAGCAAAGCCTACTATTATATAAGATCTATTAGGAGTAATTTAAGGCCTACTTGGCTAATATACTTCAAGTATCTTAAACCCGTTAATAAGACGCTTTTAAGAAATTCCGAGATCTTTATTAAAAGAATAGTAAGATAGTTACTAAGTTATATACTCGGATAATTAGTTTTAAAGTTAACTAGGACTTATATCCTAAGAGGAACCGGATCCGGACTCTTAATACTACTTTATCTAACTATAAGACTTATTAGATACTTATATCTATTTTCTTAGGAGATAAGGTAGTATCTATTTCCGAGTAGTTTGAGAAAGCTTAGAAAGCAGAATATACTACTTATCCCAAATTAAGGAAAGTAAAGACAGGAAAGTCTAGCAAGGGTAATTCTGCTCCTAAGGACTCTGACTTAGCGAATTCTAATTTGTAAGGCTATTAAAAAAAGAAGAATAAGTTCCGAAAATTATATAAGAAATCCTTAGGTAGTACTTTGGCTCCTTTAAGGCCTTAATAAAATACTAGTTCTACTTTAGATATGGTTTATTAGATTTATAAATAGAAAGAATATTTCTTAGGAAATGCAAAGTATTTCAAGTATACTAAATAGGCTTAGCAGAACCCTAATAAGGCCAAAATTATAGAAGAGTCAAGGCGTCTATAAAAGTAGGTTAATACTATTACTATAGAGGAATACTCTAGAGGAGATTCTCCTAAGGAATAAAGAAAAAGGAAGGCCAAATCTTGAATATTAATAATTTTAGCTATAATAAAAAAGGCATATTACTTTATATAATTATTTAAGCAAGATTAATATAGCCAGAAGTAAGTGCCTTAGAGATATATAGCAAACTCGGTAATACCGGATTAGACTATAACTTCCTTAATAATAATTAGGCTTAAAGCTAGGGCTTTACTATTTTAGCTAAGTATAACCAAGAGTTTATAACCTTTTATAGAAATAGATTTAAGGTCTATTAAGCTTATAATCTTAAGGTATTTATTATAAATAATTATAGCAAGATGTATTCTTTTAAGCTCCGGTTCTATAGGTATAAGAATATTAGCTCTTATAGCCTTGTTTTTAGTATAGAATTTTATAAAGTAATTCTTATATAATATATAGACTATATTAAGAAATAATAGATATATATACCTATATGGCCTAATAATATTAAGATCCTAATACTAAAAGAATTCGGTAAGGAGCTTAACTAGTACCCTAAGCTAGTACCTTAAGTTTTATTCTTAACTAAAGGTAAATATAACTATCCTAAATAGTAGGCTTCGTATATTTGTAATAGTTACTAGGTCTCTGCTTTATTATATGGTTCTGGTAATACTAAATAGGAGTTTTTAATATAGTAAATTAATACCCTCCGGAAAAGGGCCTTAGAGATACCTGTTTATCTCCGGAATAATAAATACAAAGACTTCTTAAAGGTTTTTAATTCTAATAAAGCTTTAGAACTTCCTAATCTTGGCGGTATTAAATACTTTATTAATATAGATAGTATAGTCCTATATAGGCCTTTATATAATCTATTAGAGACCTAACTAGAAGTATTATATCTATATTTGCAAGATATACTTTATAAATATTAGATAAGGCCTAGTAAAAGCCTAGTAGGAGTACCTATTCTTTTTATTCCCAAGAAAAATAGAGAACTATACCTTTATATTAATTATTATAGACTTAACCAAGTTATAATCAAGAATCGGCATCCGCTTTCTCTTATTAATAAGATCCTTAACTAGCTCCGAGAAGCCAAGATCTTTATAAAGCTAGATCTTAAGGATATATATTATTAGGTAAGAATTTATAAAGAATATAAGTAAAAGACGGCTTTTAGGACCTACTATAGCTATTTTAAATATCTTATAATGCTTTTTGGGCTAGCTAATATACTAGCCATATTTTAAATATATATTAATACTATATTTATAAGATTCCTAAATTATTTCATAGTTATTTATTTAGATAATATTCTTATTTATTCCCGAAATAAGAATAAATACTATAATTATATTTGCCAGGTACTTACTAGGCTATATAAAAATAACCTGTTTTATAAACTTAGTAAATACGAGTTTAATATTAAGGAAGTCGAATTTTTGGGCTTTCTTATTAAAATAGAAGATATTTATACGGATCCTAAACAGGTCCGTAGTATTATTAAATAGCCAGAACTAGAATTATTTTATAATATCCAAGTATTTCTTAAATTTACTAATTTCTACTATAGGTTTATTTACTATTACTCTCAGGTAACTATAGGCTTAATAAACCTTTTAAAAGAAATAGAAAAGGGCCGGAAATCCGGTTTCTTTATATAAATAAATAAAGTAGCTAAAAGCTTTAAGACTTTAAAAAAAGCTTTTATTATAATACCTGTCCTAGTCTATTTTGACTTTTCTAAGAAGATTTATATTAAAACCAATATATTAAAATTCGTAATTACTAGTACTATTTTATAATAAGTTAATTCTAGTAATAGCCTAAAAAAATACTAGTATCTAGTAGTATTCTAGTCCTAAAAACTCTCCGGAGCTAAATATAACTATAGTACCTATAATAAAGAGCTACTTATAATTATTAAAGCTTTTAAGTATTAGTACTATTACTTTAAAGAGTCCAGGTTTATAATCGAGATTATTATAGACTATAATAACCTCTAATACTTTATAGAAATAAAGTATCTAGAGAGCTATTAAGTATATTAGGTAATATACCTTATAATATATGATTTTAATATTATTTACTATAGAGGTACCTTAAACCTAGTAAACGGACCTAATAAAAGACCTAATTATAAAAAAGGTCCTATTAATATAACTTGGCTTCTGACTTTTTAGAATAAGTTAAAGAAAGCTTTTATAGTTATAATTTAGAGGTCCTTATAAATATCTAAAGAGTTCCCTCTTTAAAATAGGCATTATTTAATACTTACTATATTTATAATAGCTAAGAAGAAATATTTACTATAAGATAAGTAAATAGATTATCTTATAAATTCCTTAACTATAAAATTAGTTAAGAAGCAAGATATAGGGAAATGCCTTAAAGGCTCTACTATTATAGCTAAGGTAATAAGGGTATCTATAATTATATTACTTAATAAA